GAACTCCAGCCTGGGCAACAGAGAAATCTCTTTCTTCTATGTCACAGTGATTCATGTTTTGACCAAAAATCAAGAATAGACAATAAGAGCAATTTTAGTATACTCAAGATGAGAAAAAAAAAATCTAGATTGAGTAAAATAGTTAAGGGTTACTTAGCTAATATAGAAAATGTATACATACTGTTGCATATATTTACCACTACCAAATATTATCTCAATCTAAACTTTCCATATATTCAACTGTTCATGTTATGTTTTTTGGCAAAATGGAGGCAGTCACTCACAAAGACTGAATTTTATACTTGCTTTATGAATTACCTTTCTTCTTTTGGGCTTTAGGTATGTGCTATATAAATTTTTATTTATGTGTTTTTATAAACATACTCATTGATATAACAGAAAATGCTATCCATCTGCTAGAATTATATTAAAAGAAAGTACATTATGTGAGAAAGAGAACAATGAAATATAAGTTTACACTTAAGTTTTATTAGAAAAGGACATTTCTTCAAAGACAGTTCAAACTATATCTTGGGATAAAGGACATAGCTGAAAGCTAATATATTTATGTTATAACAGGACAGCCCGTTTAAAGCAATTTGATGCTCATTGAGTACATTCAAATGAGTTTTTAAGATTATGAAGCCTGCCTTGTCTTGCCAAGGATAAATGAATGGCCTGCTACTCAAGCAACTGTGTTGTTTCATATAAGGATTACCACCTATCCTCCTAAATTACTAGCTTATAAAACTGAAGACAGTGTTTTGGCAGAAATTAAGTGAGGTTCCAGGTTTTTTTCCCCCTGCATCCTGATGGATAATACAATTAAAACCACATTTAATAATCAGAACATCCTATTAAAAATAAACATAATAGGTAAATAGCTAGATTTTAAAAGATCCATGCATTTCTGGCTTCAGTATTAAGTAGAAAAGATTTATAAAGGTAATCTGATGCTCCTCAGTGATATTTTCAAATATTAATGACTGCTATCCATAATTCTTCAGAAAATAGTCAGTCTCTTCATACCTATAAACCATTTTCTATTTGTGTTTATATCCAGATAAGAAAAACATTCTTCTCTTAATACCCAGATAAGAAAAATATTCTTCTCTTACGTGCCGTGTAATTGCTAGCAATCACTGACCTTTTTACTGCCTCCATAGTTTCTCCATTTACAGAATGTCATATAGTTGGACTCTTACAGTATTTAGCCTTTTCAGATTGGCTTCTTTCACTTGGTAATACGCATTTAACTTTTCTCCATGTTTTTTCATGGTTAGATAGCTCATTTATTTTTAGTGCTGAATAATATTCCATTGCCTGGATGTACTATAGTTATTTATCCTTCTATCTACTGAAGGACATCTTGTTTGCTTCTAAGTTTTGGCAATTTTGAAGAAAGTTGCTGTAAACATCCGTGTGGATGTTTTTGTGTGAACATAAATTTTCAATTCCTTTGGATAAATATGAAGGAGCATGATTGCTGGATCATATGGTGAGAATATGTTTAGTTTTCTAAGAAACTGCCAAACTGTCTTCCAAGGTGGCTGTACTATTTTATATCCATCCTTACCAGCAATGAATGAGTTTATGTTGCTCCATATTATCACCAATTTTTTTTTTGTCCATTCCAAAAGGTATGTGGGTGTGTCTCAGTTTGGTTTTTAAAAATCTCCACTTCTTCTTCAAATATTTCCACACCAAAAATATATTTTTTGGTATGACAAAATATATAGTAAATCAAAATCAGAGGTGGCGAGGAATAAAAGACTACACACTGGGTACAGTGTACACTACTCGTGTGATGGGTGCATTAAAATCCCAGAAGTCACCACTGAAGAACTTATTCATGTAACCAAATACCACCTGTTCCCCAAAAACCTATTGAAATGAAAAAAAATTTAAAAGAAAATATTTGTTTAATGGTTAAAGCTTTTAGTTCCACTTCTTGGGAGTCTACAAATCCTAAGAATATATGGTAGTTCTCAGATACTATTAATAAAAATTGTTACCATTAGAAAAACTCTCCATTTCTTCTTCAAATATTTCCACACCCAAAGTCTATTTTTTGGAATGACATAATATATAGCACATCAAAATCAAGCTGTAAGAAAAACATTATAATTTTTTTATCACATATTTAAGTCTAAGATAAGGGTCTGGTGTCAAGTAGTCTCAAGCTTGTAGAGTATAGTTAACAATTTTTCAGTAAAACAGAAATTTAAAACAGTTGTATCTGTTTCCAGTAAAACAGAAACAGACTGTATGTGGAGCCACACAGTCTAAGTTTGGATAGCATATCCACTATGTGTAGTTATGTGATCTTAGACAATCAATCATGGGAGCCCTAAGAGCTCTCAATGGCCAAAGCTGAAACAATATTAGCAAATAAATAAATGAAGTATAAAATAAATATTCAAGAGTATATATACTATTGAATATATAAATATTCAATAGTATAAATTATTCATACTATATAAATAAATTAATAAATTAATAAACACCTACAAAAATCTCCCTTATAGAACAATTCCTAATAATTGATGTGGGGATGCTCTGCCCTCAAGAAACTAGAGCATAAATCCGTACTCCTGAAGTGAAAGATATGCAAAGCTACTTCCTTTCAAAGGGCACAGTATAAAAACAGAGGGAGAGATGTTCATAGCATACAGTGGAGAAACTCAAGAAACATTACTTCAGTCAGGTGACCAAAGTTAACATCAATGATGATAGTCATGTCCATAGTCTATACTCTTAATAGGATGGCATTTTCCTCTCTTGTCTTCCTCCAAAAACATAAAACCCCAGTGTTAGCATGGGAAAAACATCTGACAACTCTCTATTGACAGACATTTATAAGATATGTGACCAATACTACTCAAGCTGTCATGTACATGAAAAGCAAGAAAAGTCTAAGAAAAGGTCAAAGCCAAGAGAAGCATAAGGAAACATGATTAATATTATATCATGGATGGGATCCTCAAACCCCAACAGGTCATTGGATAAAAACTAAGAAAATATAAATAAAACATGGACTTTAGTTAATAATTATCAATATTGGTTAATTAACATAATGAATTTATCATTCTAATGTAAAATGTTAATAATATGGAAACTGGGTGCAGAGTGTGCAGGAATTCTCTATACTATCTTTGAAAGTTTTCTGTAAATCTGAGACTGTTCCAGAATTTTTAAAGGTGCTATTTAAAAAATTAAATTGCCTAGACACACATTCAAAGGTAAAAATTATTTATTGGATAAAAACTTACCAGCAATATGTTGTTTATATGAACCCATTTATATAATAGAACAAATTTAAATTGAAAGTAACCAGTGAGAAAAGATACAGCAAACACTATCAATCAGAAATCTTGGTTGCATGTATAAATATTGGACAAAGAAGGGTTTAAGGATAAGGATACTTTAAGAGAACATAGATTTAAAAAATAAAAGTTGAAAAGCAATGTTTCATAATAATAATGGCAATCATTCAACAGGAAGACAAAACAATTACACATTTTTATGTACCTAATATCAACTTAAAATATATAAAGCAAAAACTTTGACAAATTGAATAGAATAAATATGTAACTCCTCAGTCTTAACTAGATTTTGAAATGTCTTTTTGAGAAACTGATAGAAGAGATAAACAAAATATATAACTATAAAAAATTTGAAAAATGTATTAACCAACTATATCTCTCTCCCTCTCTGCTTATATATGTCTATATTTATATATCTACTCATATCTACATCTCTGTATATCTACACCAAGTAACGGAAGGCTGTGCATTCTTTTCAAGTGAACATAGAAATATAAATCAAGCCTTAAGAAATTCCAAAGGTCTTAACTTATACAATGTATGTTCTCTGACCATAGTTGAATTAAGCTAATTATTAACAGCAGAAAGGTAACTTGAAAAATTCCAAATATCTGAAAATTAAAGAATACAATACCTGAACATGAACCTCAAAAAAGAGGATGTCCAAATAACCAATAAGCACATGAAAAAGTGTTAACCCATACTGCTGTGGAAAGTCCACATCAAAACCACACGATCTAATGTACGCCTACCCATATTTCTTTTTTTTTTTTTGGAGACAGAGTCTTGCTCTGTCACCAGGCGTCAGGCTGGAGTGCAGTGGCACAATCTCTGCTCACTGCAACCTCCGCCTCCCGGGTTCAAGCAATTCTCCTGCCTCAGCCTCCCGAGTACCTGGGACTACAGGCGTGCGCCACCACACCCTGCTAATTGTTGTATTTTTATTAGAGACGGGGTTTCACCATATTGGCCAGGCTGGTCTTGAACTCCTGACCTCGTGATCAGCCCACCTTGTCCTCCTAAAGGTGTGAACTTTAGGAGGAATTACAGGTGTGAACTACCACTCCTGGCTCAATTTCACTTCTTAGTAAATAAAAGCAATGTACGCATACAGCTATTATGACGTGTAAGAGAAGCGGAAAGGATTCTTCAAACAGGAATAGAAATGAATAAAAGTAGCTAGCCGAGTAGGAGAAAACTTGAGAGAAGAAGCAGAACCCTTGTTTCAGATGGCGTGATTCTTTTTTTTTTTTTTTTTTTTTTCTGAGATGGAGTCTTGCTCTGTCACCAGGATGGAGAACAGTGCGGCAGTTTCCACTCACTGCAACCTCTGCCTCCCAGGTTCAAGCGATTCTTAAACCTCAGCCTCCCGAGTAGCTGGGACTACAGGCGTGTGCCACCACGCCCGGCTAATTTTTGTATTTTTAGTAGAGACGGGGTTTCACCATGTTGGCCAGGATGGTCTCGATGTCTTGACCTGTGATTCGCCCGCCTTGGCCTCCCAAAGTGGTAGGATTACAGTTGCGTGAGCCACCATGCCCGGCCCAGATCGCGTCATTCTGACGAGAGTTGTGTCAGGGCAGGTCAGCACGGTCACGATTTCGGCAAGGTGACGACGAATTCCATCCGGGTCGACCTCATATTGCGCAGGCGCAGTCATAGCGGAAAGTTCTTCCGGGCCAGGTCGTGCCCGGTAAGAAGCTGTACTTCCGCTTGCTCCCGGTACGGAATTTCCTTTTAGGAAGGAGATCATCGATCGAAATGGACAGCAAAAGACCACGACTGCTCCAGGAAGAGGACAAGCAGAAAACAATAGCCAGAGTGGCGCTCAGTGCACCTTCCATGCTACGAAAGAACCAGCTAGGTTTCCTCAGATTTACCAACTATTGCCGTTTAGCTCGTGAGCTGCGTGTGAGCTGCATGCGGGGGAAGAAGGTCCAGATTTATAGCTGGGATCCATCCTCTTTGATAGGCGTCCGATTTAACTTAATACTGGCGAATACCAACACTGACCAGCTTTTCACAGTGCACCAAGTCGAAGCCGGCGGCTTCAAGTATGGCATCATCACCATCCGAGGTCTGAGGACCCCTGAGCTCAACGTATACTCGCACAAAAACCTGTACGTCCCTAACCGGAAGGTGAATTCTTCGTGCTGGGCCTCCCTGAATCATTTGGATTCCCACCTTCTGCTGTGCTTTGTGGGATTTGCAGAGACTCCGAGCTGTGCCGTGCTGCTCCCAGCTTCGCTGTTCATAGGTAGCTACCCAGGAGCGTGTCGGCCTGGCATGCTCTGCACTTTCCAGATCCCGGATGCGTGGTCCTGTGCCTGGTCCATGAGCATCCACGCCTATCACTGCTTCAGTACAGGTTTGTCTCGGCAGGTCCTGTTGACCAACGTGGTGACGGGACACCAGCAGTCATTTGGGACTAACAGTGATGTCTTGGCCCAGCAGTTTGCAATTATGACTCCTTTGCTGTTCAATGGCTGTCGTTCTGGGGAGCTTTTTGGCATCGATCTGCGTTGTGGAAATCAAGGCAGGGGATGGAAGGCCATTTGTCTGTCCCATGACTCAGCAGTGACCTCTCTGCAGATCCTCCAAGACGGGCATTGCCTGGTGGCGTCAGACATGACTGGAACGATCAAGCTGTGGGACATTAGGGCCACTAAATGTGTAACACAGTATGAAGGTCATGTGAATAAGTCCGCCTACCTGCCCCTGCATGTGAATGAGGAAGAAGGTGTCGTGGCGGCCGTGGGCCAGGACTGCTACACGAGAATCTGGAGCCTCCGTCACGGCCACCTGCTCACAACCATACCCTCCCCATACCCTGCCTCGGAGGACGACATTCCCAGTGTGGCCTTCTCTTCTCGGCTCGGCGGCTTCCGAGGAGCACCAGGGCTGCTCATGGCTGTCCGGGAGGACCTTTATTGTTTCTCCTACAGTTAATTCTTCAGGATACAGCCCAGAGGAATGTGGATTCGACTTGAAGAAGCAGAGTATGGTATTACTGTTTCTATGAGCGCATTTTAAGAGCTGTTCCATGTTTGTAGATCCCATTCATCTGGCTGCTAGGGGTAAGGTGCTATTTTATGTGAAGATAGTTTTGTAAAGTTATTTCAGTTAAATTGTGGGCTTGGAGAGTTTGAAAGTCCTTTTCATAAAAGGTTACTACTTCCTTTTCTTATTGAATACCTTAGAATAGTTATTCTCTCCCCTTTTTTTAAACAAAAAATACTTTTCTAAGGACTGAAGATTGGCAAAAACTAAAATTAAAACTGCTTCTTTCACCAGAAGCCCTTTAGAGAATCATAATAATGCACTGGTGAAACTATTTGACTAGTTCTATCTGGGTTCTGGAAATATATACATCAGTGCTTGAGAAGTCCAGAGGCAGAGGAGAGGAGGGGGAGATCATTTCTTTCAGTTTCTACAGAAGTTTTTGAGGCTACATTTTGGAATCATTAAACTTGGCCTTCTCAATCTCAATAGCAGATCTCTGAGATTCTCCTTTTATTATTTTCCATAGGCAAAGGAAGGAAAAGTGGATCTTTTTAAATAATAGAAGTTTTAAACTGTCCTTAACGTGCCTTCGTTGAGGCACCTTCCAGAACGTAAGGTTTCTTCAGAATGCAGCTCTGGTTTCTATAATGATGACTTGAATGTCAGAGTCAAGGGCTCAGTGTCAAAGGTAATTGGCCTTGACTTTTTGTGATTTAGGAGCAGCAGTTTGTGAGATGTTTATTCAAAGTGTTAAAGAGCTTGTTTTCTACCAAACAAGCTAGAAAAGACAAAAAACAAACAAAACAAAACAAAACAAAAAACTTGTGTAATATAGTTAGTGCTACTTAATAGCCAAACCCTGGAAGTGATCTGACTGCAAAATGCTAAAATTGATAAATAATTTGTGCTGTAATCATACAATTGGATAAAACATGTTATGAAATAAGACACAATTGCTATATGAAACTGTGGATTAGCCTCAACATGTTGATTGTAAATGTAGGTAGAAATGATCACAAAGTGATTCAGTTCTAAAATTCAAAAGCAGTAAAAACTTACCTATGAATACAGGGTACTGTGGAAGGAAGAACAGATATTGTTTGGTTTTTTTCTTTTTCTTTTTAGGATATTGTTTGGGAAGTAACATGCAGAAACTTTAAAAATGCTGTTTTATTTTTCTTGATCCTTGATACATACACATTTTGTATGTCTATACACTTCACACTTTATATAATACCTCAAAAATAAAAATATGAAAGCAGAACACTCTTGTAATTGGTCAGGCAAGGGAGTGATGATGGCTTGGACCTGAATATGAGAAGTAAAAATAATAAGAAAAATAGGAAATGATTTCATTGGAAGATCATTTGAAGGTAGTATTAGTAAGACTTGCTGATGAGAGTAATCTAGAAAGTGAAAGAATAAAGATTACAGCTTTTTTGTTAACTTTAGGACTGGTGGATGGTGTTGTCATTTACTAAAATGGGGAGGATTTGAAATGAAAAAGTTTTAGGTGAAGGGAATAATGCCAAGTTTTAGGCAAATATTAAACATCTAATTCCGTAGATCGGAGGTGATGTCAGGACATAGATAAGGTTAATGTAGTAATTACATATTGATAGAGGAATAGATCAGTAGAGAAGATGCAGAAGAGTGGTTAGGTGCATAGATTTTTGAAATCAGTTAAATTAGTTTTTGATACTCACTTGATGTGTGACAGGAGAAATTGTGTAAGCTTTACTTGTTATCATTTCTTCATTGTAAAATGTCTTAGATAATAAAACTAACTCATAAAGTAGGTACTGTTTTAAAAGATGTATACATTGACCCTTTTACATTATAAGCATTCAGTAAGAAATAGCTGCAGATGTTATTTTTTAAAAGAAGTTCAAAAACAGCTATAGGCAGTTGACAAAATGTAATGACTACATAACTTGTGAAACTGTTTACCCTCACTTGCAAATAGAATAAATGCGAATAAAGCAATGATTATGTATTGTTTTCATTTGTTATTCTAGTACAATTTTTGTTTGTAGCAGCTTTATTTAAAATTGCCAAAAACTAGAAGCAAACCAAGAGGTTCCTCAAAAAGTGATGGTTAAACAAACTAGTACACATACTTATATGATGGAATATTACTTAGCAATAAAAATAAATGAGCTATTAAGCCACAAAAGGACATGGTTGAATCATAAGTACTTGTTTTGAAGAAGCCAAATTCGAAAGGCTATATTTGTAAAATTCCAACTATATGGAAGTATGGAAAAGACAAAACTATAGAGATGGTTAAAAGTATCAGTGGTTTCCGAGAGTTCAGCAGGAGGGGAAAGAGGTCAATAGGTGCAGCGCAGGGATTTTGTTTTTCTTTTCTTTTTTTTTTTTTTTTTTTTTTTTATTTTTTTTTTTTTTTTTTTTTTTTTTTTTTTTTTTTTTTTTGAGACGGAATTTCTCCTGTCACCTAGGCTGGAGTGCAATGGTGTGATCTTGGCTCACTACAACCTTTGCCTCCTGGGTTCAAGTGATTCTCCTGCTTCAGCCTACCAAGTAGGTGAGATTACAGGCGTGCACCACCACACCCCATTAATTTTTTATAGCTTTACTAGAGATGGACAGGCTGGTCTCGAACTCCTGACCTTGTGATCCACCCGCCTCAGCCTCCGAAAGTGCCACCACACCTGGCCAGGGATTTTTAGGATAGTGAAATCATTCTGCATGATACCGTAATGACAGGTGTATGACATTATGCATTTGTCAAAACTCAGAGCTGTATAACACAAAGAATATACCCTAACGTAAGTTATAGATTTCAGTTAATTATAATGATCAATATTGGCTCATTAATTGTAACGTGCTATACTAATGCAAGATGTTAATGATAGGGTAAGTTATAGAGTAGAGAAGTGGCAAATGCTCAATTTTTATACTGTTTATACTACCTGTTCAATTTCATGTTAACCTAACACTTCCCTAAAAATCTAATAATTATTATTTTAAAAAATTAGTTATGATCACAGAAACCAGAACAATGTGGAGCAGGTTGTTCTTGGGAAGTATCACTAAGACAACAACGTCCATGAAGAAGACAAAACGTCCCTTCAAGCTGCAAGTAGAATCATGTTCAAGTCCTGTTAGCTAATGATGTTATGATGTAAGACTTATAATTAAGGCATTAAGGCCAATTTTTTTTTTTTTTTTTTTGAGACAGTGTCTTGGTCTGTCACTCAGGCTGGTGTGTAGTGGCACAATTTCAGCTTGTCTCACTGTAACCTCTGCCTCCTCAGTTCAAGCGATTCTCCTGCCTCAGCCTCCTGAGTAGCTGGTATTAGAGGTAGGCCACACCCAGCTAATTTTTAAATTTTTTATTTTTATTAAAGATGGAATTTCACCATGTTGGCCAGGCTGGTCTCAAACTCCTGACCTTAGCTGATCTGCCTGCCTTGATCTCCTGAAGTACTGGGATTATAGCTGTGAGCCACCATGCCTGGCCTAATTTTTGTAGTTTTTAGTAGAGATGGGATTTTACCATGCTGGTCAGTCTGGTTTTAAACTCCTGACCTCAAATGATCCACCCACATATGCCTCCCAAAATGCTGGGATTACAAGTATAAGCCAGGGGGCTCAGCCATTAAGGCCTATTATTATGCAATGCCTTGACATCTGGTACAGTCAAGAGGAACTCTGATGGCCTAATGAATATTTTTCCTTCCCACTTTGCTCCCACAGATAAGTTTCTTAGCCTGTTAACCCTTTTTATCAAGGAGACTAGGCACAGTGCCTGCTTATTTCTGACAAGCAGGTTTACGGTCCTGCAGGCCCATGGAATTATTAAAACAAGCCAATCCCGTTCTCTCAAGGCAAACAAGAGTCACCTTACCATCTTACAACTACAATGCTTATTTCCCTGATTGTTCACTTTGTTCTCAAATGCAAACCCGTGTGACCCTGTGCAATGTACAGTGTCCTCTTCCCTCAGGCTGTGAGTATATGAGACTAATAAACTGCTGTCAATCTCATCTGTCCAGTGGCCACCTATCTCCATAACCCTAGAGTTAGACATCCTTCCTCACCAATGGGGTGACTAAGAAGAAATTAAAATAGATGAGTCTTATCTATCAGTAAAACAAGAAGAAATTAAAACAGATGGGTCTTACCTATCAGTAAAACAATGGTTCCAAAAACTGGAACCCCTAATGGGCTTAGGCTACTCAAAATTTCTTCCAGGAATTGGAGAGAGGGTACAGAAATCTGTGGATGCATACCAGGAACACTTGCCAGCTGGTAGAGTTGAAATTGATTTTGTCACAGATAGTAGTGGCTACATAACTCTGGTAAAGTCTTGGACAGGTGAGGACATGCAACTTAGCTCCAGAAAGTGTTCAATATATCCAATACTCATAGGTATCTCCCCAGTGTGCATATTTGTATGAATGGGATTCAGTTATAAAGGCTGCTTGCAGAGCATCTCTCTGGTGTATGTCAGGTTTTGTTTCATTCCTTTCATTCCTGAAAGTCTTTCTCCAGTGTTAACTTTCTGGTTCCAAACGAAGTTAAGTCTTTGGCTGAAGACTTTCCCCTAATTTATTTTATTTATAATGCCTATCTGAATTGTGAATTTTCTGCTGCTGAATCAGAGCAGACATTTGGTTGAAGCTTTTCCCACATAAGCCTTTTCTCTCTAGTAAACTTTCTGGTGTCAAACGAGGTTGGTCTTTTTACTAAATCATTTCCAATATCTGCTTTACTCATAAGACTTTGCTGCATTCCCTGTTATTGAAAGAGGCTTAGAGATATGATTAGAGAATTCTTCATATCCACTCCATTAATTAAGCTTTACTTCATTATGGATACTTTGATGTTTAATGAGGCTGGAGATAAGAAAAAAAATTCCACATTTGCTGTATTCCAAATGCCCTTTCAAAATCTTCAGTGTGAACTCTCTAGTGCTTAGTAGGTGTGGGGTTGCGGATAACTTGTGTCTCCCATTTGATACACTCAAAAGGCCTTTCTTTAATATGAACTGTTTTGTGTTGAGTGGAGTTGAAGCACTGGCTAAGGAAATTCCCAGAGTGGTTGTACGTATAAGGTGTTTCTCCAGTGTGAACTCTCGTGTGTATAATCAAGTTGTATTTATGGGTAAGTAATTTTCTGCCTTTGCTGTTTTCATAAGGATTTTAATCAGTATGTATTATCTGGTGCTTAACAAGTATTTATTGTGATTGAGGACTTTCCAATACTTGGGACTTCTGTAGTGCCTTTGTCCAATGTGAATGCCTCCTCCCACCTGGTGCTCTAGTGGGTCACCCCTTCCACACTGAGAGGGACCCGATGCTTGAGAAAACCTGAGCTGGTCAGAAAGTCCTTCTTACCCTTTCTACATATGAAGGGCTTTTATGACAGGTGGACTCTGGAGTTCTTCAAAACTCAATCTCTGCTCTCTTTTTTTATTATTCACCATGTAGCTTCTGGTGTTGGTAAAGGTTTGCTCTGAACCAGAAGCCCCTCTCATGTATACAATGTCTTCCAAACTGGACTACATGTTGCATTGGAGTAGGCCTTCTGGGTAGACATTCCTGTCTTGGAAGCCTTGACATGTGACACCCCATGTACACAATCACCACATTCAAAAGGTGCTTCCTTAGTCTTTAATCTGCAAACAACCACGCCAGTTTCTCTCTAAGCGCTTCTTGCCATTGCTGAAATTCTGTCCACGTAATCAGGCACTATATTAGGCTTATAGAGCTTCCATGACAAAATACCACAGACTTGGTGGCTTAAACAGTAGACATTTATTTTTTCACGGTTTTGTAGGCTGGAAATCCAAGATTGACTTGTCAGCAAGTTTGGTTTCTTCTGAAACATGTCTCATTGGCTTACAGACAACTCCCTTCTTGCTGTGTGCTCATGTGGCTTTTCTCTGTGTGTCCAATCCTGGCATCTCTTCCCCTTTATATAAGGATACCAGTCCTATTGAATTAGGACCCTACCCTTATGGTATCATTTAACCTTAATTAACTCTTTAAAGGTTATGTTTCAAATACAATCACATTGGGGGTTAGGGCTTCAATATATGAATTTGTTGGGGACACAATTCTGTCCATAATATACACCTAGGACTCTCCTTACCACTACAGTTGGATAATTTCGTGGGACCAGGAAGATGCTAATATGCGTGGTTCCTAAGTGCTCCTGCATTTATATGAACCTAAGTTATATGAGCCAGATGATTGCCACCACACTTTTTTTTTTAAGGTAGAATTTGGTTGTAAATGGGAAAGGAGAAAAGTGCCCACATACCCAGTTGTGAGGAATGTAAAATTTAGATACTTCTAGAGGTTAACTTTGCAAAATGTAGCAACATTTAAAACTTTGCATAATTTTAAAATCAAAGTAATTTCATTTCTAGGAATTTGTCCCCTTCCTCTAAATTAATAGACATACAGAGATATTTGTTTATTTTCTACTACTTTCCTATATACAACATGGCAACTTGATACATAAACTATATAGAAGAATACATTTTGATATGAAAAGATTCATTTTATATATGCCATGGTGACATACAATCATGTGAAATTTATCAATATTGTATTATAAGAGCTTGAGGGGAAAGAAAGAACTAGTATGTTAAATGTAAGTATTGTCATATGACCTAAGATGTCTTCACATGAAAAGAATGCATTTTAGAGAGGAAAAAGTTAAGTAGGTATATGTAGTGAAAGAGGGACTTTTATTTAAGCAAGTGAACTTATAATTTTGGCCAAATCAAGTGAAATAGCTATCCTTCGATTTGGAAAAAATTATCAAGATAGTTACAAGAAAGTAAAATAACTAGCTACCTAATTTAAGAATGATAATTTTGAATGTAGATACATTCTACATGTTTGGCTGAAGATACACCCTATTTATATTACATTTTCCATCTATTATAAATCTACATTTTTCATCTAATATAAATTGAAGTAGGTGAAAAACGTAATATAAATTGG